CCATAGTAAGGGCATGACTTTTAGGTACTTAATTTATTCTCTTCAGTAACTTGAAGGTTGACTTTTAATGCTTGCTAATGCCCTAATCAAAAATTTTATATTTACTAGAAGAGTTTTATTAGAAGATGTCAAGAAATAAAGGAACTAGATGCCTTTAAAGTTTGAGAAATCAGAATTTTTATGTGTGCATACACACATCTGCAGTCACACACACACACATGCTGTGGACACACACTCAACATCAAATCATCTTTTAAAAATTGGTGCAATTATATTCTTCATTTACCTCTGATAAAGTTTGGTGTTACTTATTCATTATAAATAGACAAAAGAAAAAGCCAATGGAAATACTTGTTGTTCATATAGGTTTTCTAGCTTTACATTCTACCCTCAACATAATATTTAAGGTAATTCTTTTTAAATTAAAATTTCCCTACCATTACCTTTCTGTAAGTTTCGTGTATGTTTTATTTACTGCCATTTCCTGGCACATGCTAGGCATTAGTTAAATAAATCAATGAATGCATAACTGTTAAATACTTTGTTAAATGATATATTAGACTGAAAAAGTATATGAGTCATTAAGGTTTTCTTAATCCTTAATTTGCTTATTTTTATAGCTTAGTTATAAAGAGGAAAAATTAAGTTAGTTTTAATTGGGAGCTGCCATATGAAAACATATAGAAACATACTCTACCTGGTCTTACAGAAATTCAGATAGGAGTGTTTGACAACTGAGTACCAGGCTCTAAGAATAAAGTTACTTGTCTTAGGCCAGGCCCACTTAGTAAGTAAACTAGTCAATTTCACCTTTGTTTCTGCTCAGCCCCATCCTCTCACATAAGCTATGGAGGACTTTTGGGTTAGTTGATACAATTGTCTGGCGGTGTTAGAGTATTCAGAAGAGACCATACATCTTATGCTGTAGCCAAAGCATTGAGTTGACATGTGAAATAGGTATGGAGTAATTTGGACTAATATTTTTTAATGGATAACATGAGCAGTTTTTTATTAAAAACTGTGCTTAATTCTATTGAAGAATAACATGAAAAACCTCATGAGTATAAATACAATATTTGCACAAAGCAAGAAGAAAGTCTAAATCCATCCTATTTTTTAAGTATAAAATAAATGTGGAAATGAATTAATTTTGAAAATCCAAAAACAACTTTCAGCAGCCTTCTTTTTTTTTTTTTGAGTTGGAGTCTCACTCCGTCACTCAGGCTGGAGTGCAGTGGCACGCTCACAGCCACTCTAGCATCGATCTGCTGGGCTCTGACAGTCCTTCTACCTCTCCCTTCCAAGTAGCTGGGCTGGTCTTGAATCCGTGGGCTCAGGCAATCCACTTGCCTCTGCCTCCCAAAGTTCTGGGATTATTACCAAGTCCGGCCAGCAGTCTTTTCTTGAAAGGATCTTGTAAGCTTCCTGGGCCTGGAGTTAATAAACAGTAGTAATACATAGTAGAAAGAGAGAATACAATACAATAGCAGTGTTACAGTTAACCAGGAGATGCATGTGAGGCAATTATTGTGGTTACATACTGGGGTTGCCAGGATAGAGGAGATGTGGGTCCTCCTCATTGTTAATCTTCATTCTAGGTCAGAATGTTTGTACTGTAGAAGAGTTCATAGCTTGTAGTTACAGACTAAAGCTTGAGTTTTAGAGGTTGATAGATCTGGATTTTGAGTCCTAACTTTAATACTTATTTAATGTAATCCTGTGTAAATTAAGTTTTCTGGTCTGATAGGACTAATAAACTCTACCTTGAAGAATTATTGTGAAGATCAGAAATAATATATGTAAAATGCTTAGCATTGTACCTATTCCCTGGCAGATACTGCTTAAATAATATGTAGTTCCTCTGCTATCATTTTGATCATTTTCTTTAGACTTTTTTTGAAGCTATGAAATGGGGGATGATTACAATGCTAAACTCACAGTGATGCTGTGAGGATTAAATGAGATATTATGAATGAATCTGCTTGACATGTTGCTGAATATATGTACTTTAAGTACATAAACTTAAATACTTGATAAATTTATTTCACAAATAAAAGTGATTAATTCTGCTGGGAGTTATAAATCAAGAAATGTTTTATAAAAGAGATGAACACTAAATGTAAATAACCCTGAGTCTTGAAGCCCATCCTCAGTATGTGACCATGCTCAGAGACTTCAGAGAACACTCTCTAGAGACTAGATGGCAGGGAGCACCAAGCTTGAACAGAGTTTATTTTCTCTCCTCCAGCAACAGGAAACTATTTTGGAACTTGAGGTTAGGACAGCTGGGGTTAGGGTCTGTTATGATAACTTGTTCATATTGAATTAATACTTTTTGCAGAATATGTTGATCTTTTCAGACCATGAATAGATTTTAGGCCATGATAATGCAGCTCTGATAATAAAGAGTAGATTGGAGCTGTAGGAAAAGCAACTCTCAGAACTTTGAAGCAATGCTCATAAATGAGGGGATTTTTTTCATAAAGATTGTTACAGTTTTTCCTTTTTTCATGTTTATAGCTAATATGAGTTTGATTTTGATGAGTGATATATATTTGTTTACATTTTTCCCACCTGGAAATAGTGTTAGAAATTATAACAATTACTCTTCAAGACTATTTTGTAATGGTACGTTTTCTTCAACATGTAATTGATAGTCTGCAATGGTTTCCCTGAAATCTGTGTCACTCAATTAAGAGCCACTGAATGTTTCCATTGGAACAATGCTGGTATTTCTCTACCTTATCTAAATACCTATCTTGGTTTGTCTTTTGAGCCTTTATTTTTGTGTTCAATAATAAATCTACTTATAACGCTAAAACCTAGTTTTTAAATTTGGATTTATTTTTTGTTTTATAGAAGCAAAAGCCAATCAAAATTTAAACAAAATGACTCTGGGACTAAAGCTTTTTACTTAATTTTGCGGATTGAGTAATTCAGTTCCAACTGAACAGTCTTAAGTGCCTTCTATGTGCAAGGAATATAGAAATTATTGTTGCTTATAAATCTTATATGAAAACTAATATTCACACATAGAGGTACCCACACCCAAGTTTGATGACTGTTTATTTGTTCATTAATTTGTCCACTTATTCATTCAATAAATATTTATTGATCACCTTAAGTCTCAGTGCTAATGCAGAAAATAAAGCAAAGATTTAGATCAGAGATAGCACTGCTGCTAGGTGAGAGGACATTTTTTCTACCTTAAGAGAAAGGAATAAGTAGGTGGGTACATATTCATGATAGGCTGTACATTTCTGATAGGCTAAAGAGAGTATTCCCATTGCATGCCTTTTGTCTTCTCTCTGAGAAAGCTGTGTGGGAAGTCTACTGGAAAGAGTATGAAATTGGTGGATTGGAGAACTTCCTAGGCAAGCATTGTTGAATTTCCAGACAGTTTTAGCTGGCCATTTGAGATTTGTTGTCATGAATATACTAGAATATAGGTTTTCCAGCTGCTCAGCAGTAAGTTTGAAGAGGGGAGGGTGGGTGGTTAGGGATCAGTGAAGTTTGGTTTTGTCATGTAATTAAAATAGGGGGTAATGGGAAACAGAAGAGTTTGGGATCTTTGTAAGAGATGGTCATAATGGTGAATTATTCAGTACAAAATAGATAAAGATTTGTGTGAAATGAGGGGTTACTTAACTGGGAATGGAAATCTGAGCAAGTGGGCTGGCAGACTCTGAAGCAATAGGTGAAGAGCAGGATGTCTGAAAACTTTTTTAGGGCAGAAGTCAACATACTTTTTCTGTAAAGAGTAAATATTTTAGACTTTGAAGACTAAGAGGCAAAATTGAAGGTATTATGAAAGTACTTTTGTAATGAGAGAAGGCCAGGTACAGTGGCTCGCACCTGTAATCCCAGCACTTTGGGAGGCCAAGGTGGGAGGATTGCTTGAGCCCAGGAATTTGAGACTAACCTGGGCAACATACTAAGATCTTGTCTCTACAAAAAAATTTTAAAAAGCAGCTGCGTACTGTTGCATGTGCTTGTAGTCCTAGTTACTCAGGAGCTGAGGTGAAAGAATTGCCTGAGCATAGGAGTTTGAGGCTGCAATGAGCTATGATGTGCCAGTACACTCTAGCCTAGGCAACAGCGTGAGATCCCAACTAAAAAAATAAAAATAAAAAAGAGGGAAGACAAATTTCTACAAATTTTTGTATTGACAAAATTCATGATATAATAACTGAATATAGTTTTTAAAAATACAGATGTATTAATGAGAAGGATGGGATGCCTTTTAGGGGAGAGGTAGATAACATTTTACTTGAGGTTCAAAATAAGTACTCTCTTTCATTAAAATCAGTTGTACATGTTGCTCTCTCAGGTTAATCTATAAGGCGACTGTACATATTTCATTGTTGAAAATGTTTTTATCCTGTCGTGTACTTGCCAATACTGCTGTCAGTCTATCAGCTCTTTTAATTGGGCTTATTCATTGGTTAGAAGGTATTTCTAGAATTCTGTTAGATTCTTCTCTTTATATTAGGCTTTAAGCATGTATTTCTTTTACAGATTAATTACTTAAAATTGATGGGTAAATGGAAGTACCTTTATTGCACAGTTACATGAATTTTGAAGTATGTAAATTTTCTTTACTCTTTCATTTAGGAATTTTAAAATGCTATTGGAACTGTAGTTTGAGTTTAGAAAATACTTCTGCTATAAATTACTGTGGAAGAAGAAATCTCCTTTATTATTTTTACGTTTGACAGCATGAGAAGGGTGTAAAGCAGCTTACCATTATTGCAATTCAGACTGTGTCAACTGTTTGTTAATGTCCCATTTAAATGGTCATAGATTATATGATCTTTCCTTAGTAGGAGACCAATTTATTTCTCTAATTATTTTTGGTATGACTAATTTTTGTATCTTTAGCATTTAGCATAATTATTGACATGGTGTAAAGTAGTTGAAAGGTACTCAATAAACTTATTGAATGAATATATTTAAGATATGTTCTTTTAAAACAATTTTTCCCATTTCTTTTATTGTAGGTGAAGAGCGATTATATGTTAGAGATAGCTGATCAAGTGGACCAGGAGATTGCTTTGAAGTTGGGTTGTCTAGAAATACGGTAAGATGATGAGTATACACTGAGGACTTTATTCATTGTTTATTATTTTGGAATGTTTTCCAGGTATTTTCTTGTTCCCCATAACGATTATTGGTAAAATACTGAAAAAAATTTGAGAAGATTTTGAATTATTTGTTTATTATTTAGATCCCTCTACCCCAGTTTTTATCATTTAACAACATAAATATTCCTTATATTATACATATCAATTTATGTCTTCCCTTTTTAGGCGATCGTATTGGGAAATGCGGGGCAATGCACTAGAAAAGAAGTCTAACTATGAAGTATTAGAGTAAGTATTACTCATTTAAGCTATACCTGGAAATATTTAGAACTCAATCATTTTTTAGTTTATCTTGATTTAAAAGTAAATATCGACTCTAAAACCCTACTATTTCTTAAACTTTTATATCTAGAAGAGGGAAAGTTTTAAGAAAATAATTCTTAAGCCAGGCTCAGTGGCTCAGCCTGTAATCCCCTGCTTTGGGAGGCTGAGGTGAGTGGATCACCTGAGCCCACGGGTTCGAGACCTGCCTGGGCAACTTGGCGAGACCTCATCTCTACAATAAATCAAAAATGAGCCGGGCGTGGTAGCGCGCGCCTGTAGTTCCAGCTACTTGGAAGGCTGAGGCGGAAGGATCGCCAGAGCCCAGCAGGTCGAGGCTGCGGTGGCCAGGAGCGGCCACTGCACTCCAGTCTGGGTGACAGAGTGAGACTCCAACTCAAAGAAAAGAAAAGAAAAGAAAGAGAATAATTCTTGATGACATTAATTGTATCAGCAAACATTGAAATTTGTTGATAAATGTCTTAAGGCAAATATTGTGTATGGTCTGTTAACACATATATAATTGACTTTTTTGTCTGTAGATTTATTCATAATGGCATAACATTTCATTTCTCATTTACACTGAACTCTATAATTGCCTGTTCATTGCTTATAAATTATTATCATATCTTCTGTATAAGTTAATACAGATTTTTTTTCACAAATGGAGATATGGGATTAGTTGCTTCTGTATCAAAATTTAGAATGGCTAAAAAATTTTCTTAAAAAATTTTTTTCTGATAATGAAATTAATTTAAATGTTAGACTGTTATACTAGATTGTATTAAATATTTATAATCCAATCTGGAGCTTATGTTTTGGAAGGCTGGAAGTTCTGTACTTCATCTTTTTGGAAAGAGATTCAGCAAAAGATACTGAGCATTGAGTCCTTTATAGCTAAATACTAGAGATTCAGAAATTAATAATACAAACTTTTAACCCTCAGGAAGCTTACAGCTAGAAGGAAGATTCTCAGAAAAGTAAACAAAGTTATAAAATAATGTGCTGGAAAATAAGGAGAAGTATCTGCAGGATATTTTCAGAAGAGTTGGCAGGTGACGTCTGAGGTGGTTTCACAGGGAGAAGTTATTTGTCCTGGTTCTTGATTGATTTATTCACAAAATGTAGGCAGATGAAGGTTATTGAATGGGAGCCAGTCAGGAGGAGAAATCAGCATTTGCAAAAGCACAGAACCATAGGCAATTTGATAAAGGTTAGAAAACTAGCCATTGGTTGGGGATAGACAGATCACCATGCTTATGAGGGAGAGATAAGGATATGTATATAGGGGCCAGGTCAGTACCTGTCTAAGACATTCTTCAGCGAGTCTGGCATTGGTCCTTATACATGGCTGACCCAATGAACCATTTTAAGCAGGACAGTGGTATGATGAGATTTGTGATTAAGAATTCCATGTTTGGAAAGCTGAGGTGAGAGAATTGCCTGAGCCCAAATGTTCGAGACCAGCCAGGGCAACACGGTGAGACTTTGTCTCTACAATAAATCAGAAAATTAGCCAGGCTCAGTGGCTCAGCCTGTAATCCCAGCATTTTGAGAGACTGAGACAAGTAGATTGCCTGAGCCCACGTGTTCAAGACCCACACGGGCAACTTGGCGAGTCCTCGTCTCCACAATAAATCAAAAATTAGCCGGGCGTGGTATCGCGCACCTGTAGTTCCGGCTACTTGGAAGGCTGAGGTGGAAGGATTGCTGGAGCCCAGCAGGTCGAGGCTGTGGTGACCGGGAGCATGCCACTGCACTCTAGTCTGGGCGACAGAGTGAAACTCCAACTCAAAAAAA